ATATATCTATTGTATAGCTCACTAATCACCATGATAATTTTTTTAATACCACACCACAAACAATACAAATCTAAAGGATTTATAAAAGACAAACAAAGCTGATCAAAATCAGCCCCCTATGTGTTTTTACTTCTGTATTAACAAAAGAAAAAGATGTCATTAATATCCAAAGTATTCACCAAACACTGATCATCAGAAAACCCCTGTATACTAGACATGGAAACATGTTTGCCCAAAATCATGAAGGAAGCTTGTGGCATAGCTGCAGAAGACTACTTCTCTAGTGCCAAATTCTCTTTGTTGAATACTCCGTTATCCTTTTGACTCTTTGTTATAGTATCCAGCTTTAGCCAGTACGAAAACCAAGTTCCTTTTTCAAAAGTGGTTACAGATTGGGGTATTCCTGTCACATAGCCAAAATGTTCAGAAGCAGAAATTTGATAAATTTACCCATATACATCTAATAAATGGCATGAAAGGAATGAATATTTCTTGCTATCACTGTAGAGGAAGGCTCTACTTTGCCTAAATCAGTCCTGTCTTACACCAAGCTCATCACCAGCTCATTTAATATAGCTTTGGCAACAGAAGTCCACTTTAATCTGACACAGTGTCTGCTATAAATTATTGGCTCAGTCCCACATCAGGCCATTTTGGTTTTGGAGCAGAAACATGTTGCAAAATCTCCCTAGAGAGATCACTCGGCTAATGAAATTGCTTATTTAAGAGAGCTAACCATAACCACAGAGAAGAGCTCACATGGACATTTTGGGACCAGTCAACCCTTTAAAAGAAGACATTGCTTAACTTGGATGTCTCACTTCTACGGCAAGTCTCCCAGTATTGTGAGTACTTATACAAAGTTACACAATGAATCGATGTGAAACTCAAGACTCAGTCCTTGTGGCTCAGTGCTGTGTACTCATCACCACACTGCACTGCCGATCAATTAGCAAGTGTCCTCCAACTTGACTACGTATCTGTGCATCTGGTGTGTGGACTGCAAACAGCTCACACTGGAGGCCGAGTGTAATGGACATTTGGATCATTGCTATTCATTAAAATCGTAAAATTAAAAAAAAAAATCCTTAGAATAAAGCTGGGTCTTCTCCCATGGCCCAAACTGCATCAAATCATATACTACTCAAAGTCTTTAAGTGTTAGAACCCCTGTTCAGTTCAGTTAAGCTTGCAGTTGAAGTCTGAGCCTGACACTGTGAGCAGTTGAATTTAAGACTTTAGGAGACAGATTCAAAGGAATTCAGGGTAGATTTTTTCCTCTAAAAGTCATTGTCAAAAATCATTTATAATAATCATACCCAGCTATAGTTTACAGTCTAGGACTCAGGGTTTAAATCATAGCAGGATTATTTCTGATTTGAATCCTGGCAGATAAGCTCAGTCTGTTGTCCTCTGGTTGGAGGTAAGTCAGTAATGGTATTTTTTGTGAAGAAAGGTCTTTGACAACCAAAAGCATAAAACCAAGATCTTAAATATCCTCAGGAAGGTCTTTAGACCTTCTGCTCAAAGCAGGATCTGCTATAAGGTCAGACCAGATTGTTCAGATGCTTATCCGGTCTGAACTTGAATATCTCCAAGGATGGAGACTGCACAACTTTCCTGGGCAACCTTCTCGCTGGCATGTGTTACAGTCCAAATTTAATTTGGGAAATGCTTATTGGAGTCTTTCACATGAGAAGCTTGCCCATCAGCATGAAGACTTTGCAACCCACATGGCTGTACAGAGTAATAATAAAAGAAATACTTCTTTATTTCCTTATTTACTTAATTTTATATTTTAATGAGTGCCTTTGATTTGCTAAAATTCAGAACAGACAAGCCTGTTAGCTACCTCTTTGAGAAACATAGCTCTAGGTTGGGTCAGACACGCTCCTCCAGAGAGCAGATGTTCTCTATTTGTAGTTTCCCTCAATATATTCAAGACTCAGTTGTGGACTGTGGTCAGTCAGCAGTGTTTTGAGCGCACAGCATACACATAGATGTGCCTTTTATCAGTAAATTCATAGGGAGGAAGCTCACACAGAGTTTAGAGCCAACAGAGCTGATCTTTAGCACCAGGGCTTACTCCACAAATGCCTGCTATGAATGTGGGGTCAGGCCAGGGAGGGCAAGTTTCTTCCAATACTTTGGATGGAACAGAGAGAATGGACAAGTGAGAATTTAGGACTAAAGATGAGCTTTGGTAGACTAAGAGGTCTTACATTTTGCGTATTTAGAGAAGTATAGTTTCCCTATTCTGACTGGAGCAGGCTTTGGAGAAAAGTACCTTCCAATTTGCATGAACATTTAAAACCTTTGAAGGGGTGCAAACAGGGTGAAGGATTTTATCTCAGTAGTGAGATTCTAACCCACTTCCTAGAAGGAAGACATTTTTGCTCCCTTTTCCCACATTTTTGAGTACCCAGATGGAAGAATCTGGCCTTAAAACACATGTGTAGCCAACTAGGAATCTTGAGGCTTTGTCATGCCTTTGGCAGTGCTGACATCAGTGAGATGTCTCACTGAAGAGCTTGGCAATTTTACAAGAGGGAATTTATTCTTTTCAGTTGGAAACAGATTGCTTGTCATCAGCCAAAATGCATGGTAAACTCCAGCACATTGTAAAGATTCTTCACCCAACTGTCCCAAAAGCATCTCTGGGAATCCCACTGTTCTCTGGCACATTTCTTATGGAAGAGCAAAGCAGGAGGCTGAGATGTAGCTTTATAAGGCTATACAATTCAAAGACTTTCAAACCAATTAACTCCAAAGGATATAAACTAGTGACTTATATAATAATGAGTCAAGGCTCATACAGTGACAAGATAATAGAAATTGACGGCCTAGTTCAGCTAAAGAACTCCATCTTGCCCAATAACCTGCTGCAGTTAGCAGCCTGTAGCAGTTGCCTAGGGAAGAGTGAAAAAAAGGGAAATATAAAGAGTGATTAATCTCCTGCCATTCTAGCTGCTAATCAGCTGTGTTGGGGCTTTGGAACCAAAAGCTGTACCCAGAACAATGTATATGATGATACTTCAAGGACCAATTTTTCACGGTGTTTATTTTTACCCTAGCTATACTTCTGACCTGCACAGCCCGCTGTTGGAAGGGGTAGTACAATTTATCTATGCGTCATGTGAAAAATACTTATTCTATTTTCTTCTATTCTTGAATTCTTTGGCACATTGCTGGAAGCTACCTGATACTTATTCATTCAGCTATCTTTTAACTACAATTAAACTTCTCCCGCGTAGTTAGCGATAGGACGAGAGGAAATGGGCTCAAGCTGCACCAGGGGAGGTTTAGGTTGGATATTAGGAAAAATTTCTTCATGGAAAGGGTAGTCAAGCATTGGAACAGGCTGCCCAGAGAGGTGGTGGAGTCACCATCCCTGGAAGCATTCAAAAAACGGGTTGATGTGGCACTTTGGGACATGGTTTAGTCTAGTCTACCCTTGATTGGTTTAGTGTGGACTTGGTAGTGTAGGTTAATGGTTGGACTGGATGATCTTAAAGGTCTTTTCCAACCTAAACGATTCTATGATTCTAAAGCCACAGATTAGATGAAAAAAATTAATTTAAATAACCAGGAGGCCTCTACTGACAATACTTACAGCAGTATGCAACTGAGGGATATTGTACTTGAAAGTGTGATTCTACTCATTAAACTTTGTATGTTATTCACTGGATTGCTGGAATGAATTTCCAGTCCAACTTGGGTTAATGCTATTTTGCCATTGATTTAATTTGACTCAGATTTTCATCTTTGGCCTTATACCCGCATTTCTTTACTTGCTTACTAGCTCACATATCTGTTAGGACAGCAGAGCTAATGCAGTTATGAGTGTGCAATTAGGATGTGGCCTTTCTGGTTGAACTAGAATTTGTCCAAATGACTGGGCAAGCTCTGCCCTCCCCTGCCTTTTGTCAAAACTCCTCTGCAGGCCATAGATTACAGAGCCTAGAAACAGACCCATCCCACAGACTACTGTTTTAACCAAATCACCACCTTTGCTTGTAGAACTTCCCTAGATTTCCCTGGAAACCATTTGCTGTGTATCCACACCACGGTGGGTTCATTAGCCCTTTCAGAGCTAGATGTCACAGCTCTAGATTTTGTCTGATACTCAAGCTAGCTGGTCTGGATCTAGGCTGCAGTTTTATCTGCAAACATACTGCAACTGTCTACCAGTCTACAACTATCTGCAGCTGTCCACAGCCTGCTACAACAAACCTGATGGCCTGAATGTGTCATCTGACAAGGCTGAAGCTTTAAAATACATATGTGTAAAAGCCCATATATGAAGGACTCCATATTCAAAACAGACTGCCTTTATTCACTGCTTTCTGTCACAATAAAACAGTAGACTATGGTAGGAATTTCAGTGAAAAGGATAAAATGTCCCTCCCCCAAGCAACAGGATGTTTTCAAATTTACAGTCTAACAGAAACCACCTCAATCCTTCCTGAACTAACTTTTAAAATTTGCAGTCTAGCAAACATCTGGATGCTGCAAGCATTAGATGGGAAAAAGAAGTGGTATCTAACCAAAAAATGAAGACATGAGTTGGTTTTTTCATGTGTTTTTTTTAAAGTCTGAGCTATTTTGTACCTCCATCTGTAATTAGTAATTCTTCAAAATAAAACACAGTATATCTCTACTGAACTTGCTTACAGTCCGTATTACAATGTCACTGTCCAGTCCAGATGTTTTTTAAAGTACTAGTTTTTCATTTCAGTCTTCTTAACATATCTGATTATTTTATTTAATTTTTTGCATATCATCGTATATAAAGCAAATGTAGAGTGATGTCTGAAGAATGAGTACACACCTAAAACATATATACATATCTAAGAGGTTATTTGGGGTTAGCAAAGATGGACTATGGAATACCCTTTGCACTAGCAAACTGTTTTGAATTCTTTCAATTAAATACTGAGACATCTGGATTTAGAATCTAAAATTCCTTATAGGAGGAGATGTTTTTATTTATGGACTTACCAACAACTGTAAGGTTGACTTGTGCTTGTCTGCTGCCAAGTTTGTTCTCTACGACTAGGGTGTAACATCCACAGTGTTCCTGCTTTGTTGATGATATTGTTAGCTTGCTGCTGTTTTCAGCATTCTCAATTTTAATATATTCATTTTCTTCAATCTGCCAAATGCAAAAAGAAAAAAAGAAATCAAAGATTTTATGGGATAAATTCCTTCATATCTGAAAGAGCTTAAATTACAATACAAGGTTATCATATTGAGTGTTATCTGCAGATAACTCTATTACAGCAGTGAATATGTGCAGCTGGTAAAGAGTATGATCAACACAAAACATGTAGAAATGCAGTGGAACATTATAATGGCTCCAGTCCTGCAAAGGCAACAGGGAGCATTGGTGTTGCTGGGACGCCACTAAGGAACAGGAGTTTCACTTTCTAACTCCTCTTTGACAGGCTGAAAGTGCAAACTGTGTAATTGGCCAAAGAACAAAGTTTGGTCTCACATGTCTCGCAGAGACCACAGTGGAACAAGGGTTTAGCTCTGAATACCCTACCCTAATTCATTTGCCATTCCCCTTTAGAGGCCCAGTGTGCAAATCATCCATAGCTGTGACTTTTACCATCTTGTCTTAAACAGCCTTATTCTGTACTTCCACATAAATCAGGGTAACAGTTTCTTGGGTTTGAACAATTGAAGATGATGTTGCCTGAAATGGAGATGTAATGCTACAGCTGTGCAGAGAGACATACAAAGACCAGATTTAGCTTTCCTACAGCATTTTTATTTTCTGGAGAGGCAAAAATCAAAATCTCAGCTGAATACCATAGGCATATTATGAACTAGTTTTTAATTGAAACAAAGCTATCATAGCATAAATGGCCAAGGAGACTTAGATTTTAATCAGTATTAGCTTGAGACATGACAGAATATTTAAAAACCTCATAATGCTACACTGCAATTATAGAAGCTGTACACTGTGTTCTTATGAAACAGACAACATAATGTCAATGCCCTCCTTCCTCCCACCACTTCCTTCTTAGATAAGTGACTCTTCCAACTCATTATCAGAATTTCATTAAAAATGAAGGCTATTTAGTTTGCCTTATCTTGTCTCATATATTCAGAGAATAAGAAATGACAGCGCTAAGAGCAGGACTTTCCCTGCTTTCTCCTCAACTGAGATAGAACACATGCATTGCTATAGGCCAAAAAGTAGCCCGAGAAAGATGCTCCTGCAGTACCTCGAATAGAAACTTAGCAAATGGGATTATGTAGCATTACAGTTTAAATTATACTGAAAGTTGTTCCCCCCTGCCCTGTACTTTGTTCTTCTGAGATTCTACACTGGCTTATATGTTTTGCTTCATTAGATTTAGTCAAAGGGTAGTAGTAATAAAAAAATCAGTCTAGTAGAACTAGATCTGTGTTATGCGGGGAAAGCCCTGAAAGTACGCAGAGAAAGCCCTGAAAGGAAATGTAGAAATGAGTAGGCCACTTTTTAACTCCAGTCTTGAAACTAAAGAATTTTAAGAAAATATAGTAGTTCAGGAAAAAAAGGTCCCTTCCCCTAAAGTAAGAGGTTATTTGGGGTTAGAAAAGATGGACTCTGGAATACCCTTTGCACTAGCAAACTGTTTTGAATTCTTTCAATTAAATACTGACACATCTGTATTTAGAGTCTAGAATTCCTTGTAGGAGGAGATGTTTTTATTTATGTTCTATAGAGTGCATAAGGAGTTCAGAATGAAATAAACAGAAGAGCAGCTACAGTACATATTTATATTTGCTCTATCCTAACATGGCACTTCATCTTCCAGTTTGTACTTGCATATTGGGTTATTTGATTTAAAGTGGTTTTATTATTCGCTAAAGCAACTCCCTTTAGAACTGCCCCTATGGACACATGAAATATAGTTCAAGGAAATTAATTCAAGTAGAAGGAAGTTTAAACCTAGGGGGTAAGGGCACTCACGGCAGCCTAATTGTTGTTGTGCCTTGCATGTGTTTTACACAAGTGTTGTAAGACATTTCACTCAAGCTTCTGATATGGCATTTTGGCCCTCAGACATAACTTTAGACCAAGCATCAATGAAGAAGAGGTTATTTTTGATAGAGAGAAACATTTCCTGTGACAGATACTTTTCAGACACCTATATCTTTCACATCACCTATCCTTTAGTTACATGGTCTAAGGCTTTTCTCAAAGGAACAGTCATTTGTTAGAGGATGGGACAGGCAGCAACGGGTTTAAACTGTAGTAAGAAAGATTTGGGTTTGGCATTAGGAAAAAATTTCTAACACTATGGATATTTAAGCACCGCAACAGGTTGCTAATGGAAGTTGTGAGATATTCATCATTGGACTGTTTTCAGCAGAGGTGAGGAAAACATCTGGCTGGAATGACATGGATTTTGCCAGTTCCTGGGGAAGGAAGGTGGACAAGATGGGCCATTGGAGTTCCTTTCCAGCTCTACTTTTTCAATGATTGATAAAACAGACCAGAAAAAAATTTACCTGCTTACGGAATTTCATCCAGGTGCAAGTTATGGGTGCCGTTCCCACCACCTTGGCAAACAGTTCCACCGATTCACCCGCACGGACTTTTCTGTCTTCTGGGAACTGAGTAATCTGAGGAGGAGCAGCTGATGAAAATAACAAAAAAAAAATATCTCTTTAGGTGACTGTACTTTCTACACTTCTTAAAATTCCAAACACATGCATCTCTCAGCTCAACAGTTTCGGAGCAGCATTTGAAATCCAGATTAGCAGTTATCTGTTGCTTGGAATGAAACAATTCTGTGGACTTTCTTAATTCTACTGTAGTGAATCAATAACAATCTACCCATCAGAAGTTTGCTCATGCAAGAACAAGGTATAGAAATCCAAAGGCCAAAAGTGTTAAGACCTACCACCAATTCCAAATATACAGCTTATGAAATTTTGTGTTGGGTTTTTCAGAAAAACTTTTTTTTCTTTTGCACTTTGTATTTTTGAGGAATGGCTCCAACTAACTTCGTATCAATTTGCGTGTGCTGAGGGGGTCTGCAAACCTGCTCCCTAATGTCATCAACAGCATTCAGAAAATTTAAGACTCAACACCTGCCTATGAAGATTCTGGCTTCAGTAGCCAGATGAGCATCATGTGGGACATCTATTAGAGAGACAAGGAAGGAAATTGATGTCTTTCTCCATCCCACCGAATTTCCCCATGAGCAATGACAGATCCTTTTGTTTCTGTATCTCAGTGCTGCTTTTAAATCTTGCCATCCCTTTCATACTCCTTCATGTCTGGATCAAGTATTTCTCCTCCTCTTCCCTTTCACTGCCTGAGTATCAATAGATGGCAGAACATCTCTTTTGCTAATAGTGCTACTTCCTGACTCTTGGTTGTGATGCTGAGTGTGCCAGACCACTGGTAGCTGCTAGGGACAGATGCCAGAAATATCACAGCGTGGACAACTCCAGGGTGAAACCTGTTCTGTTGCTTTACAGCAGCAGCACAGTAAAAAATATTTTAGGGGGTGTATGTGTGCAGATTTGAGGACTCTTTGACAGAAACAGTAAAAGGCATTCTCTAACATTAGAATGACCTCACTGCCAAATATAACATTCCTGTCCAAAGCACAGGGCTACTGGGCATGAAAAAAGTGCTTTCTTTTTCTTTTCAATGTAATTAAAACAAAGTGTTGGGGTTTTTTTCCCCCTAGACTTGTTCTTTGAACGTGTTTTTGTTTTGAAACATCTGAAGGAAACTAGGCTGAAGGAAAAAATCTGGCAAAGAAAACAGCTTGAACAGTTTAAAAGTCTGACAAAGTTTTACGAGACTGAAAGCAGGTTCCTATAAAGGAACATTCTGGGTAGCTTTAAGCATAGATAGCTTTGCGTAGGAGGGTGCAAACACATGAACAGGTTACCATAATGCCAGTCATGAGGAAATGTAGTAGAATCTATCAACTTCTCTGTGGTAGCTACTCATGCAGAGGTGGCATTCTGTGATACATAGAAAAATCTTTTACTGAAGGCTAAGGTGTGTTGTTACAACACTATTGCTGACATTTGGTAGGATCTTGCTATAGTTTATTTGATAGAAACTTTCTTGCATGCTCATAATTTAAGACTTAGTGCAATGTAACCTTATGAACGAGTTTAAAAAATGGACTTTGCCTTCCAGTTTTCTCCTTGTAGAACTTCATACTCACTGTTTAATCACATATGCAAACAAATTTAGTAGGCAAACAGCTGTACTTAGAAATGGGGTGTCTGTTCTTTAAAACTGTACTGGTTTATTATTTTTTCCTACAGGATGACACATGCAACAAATTACCTGCTTTTGGAGGAGTCTTTGGAGCGGGTTTCTTCTTCACTGTTGCTTCACCTAGTTAAAAAAAAAAAAAAGCAGCTAATTCAAAGGTGAGCTTTGGAAGGTACCAGCTTAACTGCAAAGCTTATATCCATAGCAATGCTTTGTTGGCAGTTGAAAATCTAATACGTTCTTTCAGCATATTAAACTCAAGAATTAAAAATACTTTCAAAAAACACGTCTATTATCCTGAATGATCCTCAGAATATTCACAGTTGAAGATGGAACTGTTAAAAGAATCAAAGCAATCTGCTACACATCTCCCATACTCCATTCCTTATAGCAGTTTAATTGGGGTGAAAACACCAGGCCAAGATCCATCTCCTACTGAATTTCTTCTCAGATTTCCAACATAATCAATGATGAATGAGGTCAGTTAAAATGAGGGCAGTTAACACCACATACTACTTCTCACACCACTTGTGAGCTAGCAAAGAAAGAGCAGTATACAGGCAGTAAACATTAGTGTCACCCCTCTGCCTCATCCTCTTCCCTAGGCAGGGACAACTTTTTGCTATATTCACAGAAGGGTCAAAACAGAATTTGAAACCTGGGCACATAAATATTGGGAAGACAGTGTTCTACAAATTGTGAATGGGAGGTAGAAAGTAGAGAAGACAGGTAGGTAGAAAATGACTATCAAGTGTTTTTCACAAAACAAGAACTAGGGGCCACCCAATTAAATTACCAGGCAGCAAGCATAAAAGGAACAAAATAAGTATTTTTAAATATAGCATGCGTAATCTAGGTTCACAGACAAGTAACGTTTTGCAAGACAAAAACATAAACAGGTTCAAAAGGACAAATTCATAGGAGTTAGGTCTAGTGGTGGCCATTAAATGTAACAGTCCGGATGCCTTCAAACCACTGAATTCCAGAGGTGGAGGGGTTCATTCCTTTTAGAGCACTCTCTTTTTATCTGCTATCCTAAGCATCCTTGTCAGAGGATGGCCTCTGCTGTGAAAGGACATTTCTTATTTTCTTATGCTCAAGTAGGCAGCTTGATTGAAGTAGTCTGGCTTTTGAGATGTTATTGCCTCCAACGGAGGCAATATCTGCTAACTGCTTTTGAGTATCTGGCAGCATATACATAGGTGCCTAGTGATAGCCATAACAGTCTCAAAAGGTTTGAATTTTTTGGTTCATTGTTTACTTAAGTTATTTCAAAGTAGCAAGACACTGAGCAGCAAAAAAAAAAAAAAATTCCTCAAAAATCCACCAAACCGATACAGTCTTTTATTTTAACACCCTTTGCTACAGCAAACTACAAGCTGTGTGTGATACCCAGGGAACATATCACCTGATGCCCTTGTGCATAAGGAGCCATGAGTTGTGAACCCACTATGGGAGTCTAATGTTATAGCTCAAGCAACAGACAGATGTGAAGATGATTTTAAGTTTCAGAGTCACTGGAGATAGTAACTGATGTGGTATAGATTGTTAAAAGACCAAATGCTTTAGTAAATATATAATGGTTTAGCTGTTAACACTAGTGTTTATTCAGTTCATTCTGGGGAATATTTCACTGTGCACTGAACACAGAGGAAGTTGTTGCCACCTTCTTTTTGTAAACTTTCATTTCATAGTAATTTTCTCTCAAAGTGTGCTTAGCTTTTATATGCTCTGTCTTTATTCATTTTGTTGGAACCAGAAATACAACACTGGAGAGGTAGGATATTGTTGCAGTACTTATGGCTGAGTCAAAAAAGAATAGTTGGGTGTGTCCCAAGGAAGCCTTTCTTCTGTGACTGTCAGTTCAACAGAACTAGTTAAAGGTTTAGATTTGTATTTGTGAGGTGTTTATCCTAGTATAACTGGACCACCAGGGCATGAGCTAGATATCTGTCCTGCCACGTCTTCCATGTGGGCTTAATCCTGTTTAAATCAAGACCTTCAAAGAGCACTACTGCTCATTAAAGGCACCCATTACTTTTCAGGCCACAAACAGACTGACATGTACCCTGGCTGCTCTAGTAAGTGACAGCAAATATATTTCCAGCTCCTCTTTCCTGCCCAAGCTAGATGAGCAACAAGTGATGTTTTCAAAGCAGCTTTCCTCTTTGTCATTTTATAGTCACACCCTGAGCTGAAACTCTTATTTATTTCAGGCTGTAGTCACAGTTACATGGATGAAACTACTTATGTGATCAGGTGCAAGCTGGAAGGGCTGTAGAGTCTGGCTTATCATCTGCTGTTAAACATCCCTATTAATGGAAGTAATCCATTAGTTACTCATTAGATGCATAATCCCATGGAAACTAACTCAGTTTTATGATTTTAAAACATGTAAATATTTGTGTGTGTGCGCTCTATTTGACATCAGATTCTGTGCTCTTCTCTAAACTGAGAATGAAATAGCTGTTGGGTATCTCCTCAGAACTATAATGGCTTTTAATACAAGCTAAAGCAATGACATGAATTTGATTACTTCCACATTCCATTAAGCCTGATATGCACAAAGAACACCAACGATGAGGAAAAAGCACCATTTGTCAAGTGCCATCTTGGGTTGCAGATACTGTTGCCATTTTTCAGAAATGTCACTCCAGACAAATAGGAGAAAAAGCAAATTCCTTAATCCAGCATGACTTTCACTCAGCTATCTCCTCTTGGCCTACACTGTATATTTGTTGCACTACCTTAGTTAACAAGCAAGGTGCTGGTGGAGTCATCACACTCTCCAAATGTTCACGTTTCGCTCTGACTCTTAATATCTCAAGATTTTTTTTTTTTCCTCCTGGCTGACAAGGTCATTCTCTGCCTTTGCACAATACATGCACAGAATGGATATCTATATACTCAGGTACCCCTCTCACTTTTCTCTGCCTACTGTCAGCCACTATCAGTTCATCACAGAAGGGACCTGAGTAACATGATTTGTTCATTCACAACTACAGTCAGTGATATTCAATTAATCATTGTTAAAGAACAGTATTTCTATACAGGCTAGGATGTGTAATGAACCACCAGGTATTACATTTACCCGTAAGTGGAATAAATGCACGGTGTCCCTCCTAGCCCTGGAATAACTAAGGGCTATGCTTAAGGCAATTTAAAAGGCTCTCACCTCAATGAGGATTTCCATAGCAGCAAAGCAAAGAACATGAATCCATCACCTCATTCAGCTAGGGCACTGCTTTTTATATGTAAATACAAAATTTTTGTTTAATTTTTAGTTTTTACCCACGAGGACATTACATTCACTTGACCGAGGATATACAGACTGTCACTGGACTTCATCAAACCATGCAGATTGCAAAGGGTTGCTGGAAGGTCTGGCTGGATATCCTGTTCTGCAGACACAAATAGCCCTGAGCAGAAATTAAAGGAAAGGGCAGTGTGGAAGGGGATAAGTACAAGGATGTGTCTCTGGGTCTGTGAAGCTGACTTCTTTGGCTAATGGCATACACTCCACTGTTCTTAGATCTTCCTTAAGAATACCAGCTCATCTCATGCATCCTTTTGAAATGCAACTTTTGTTTCAGAACCTGTTGGAGACAGTTACTGAAAAAAATCTAATAAGATTACCCAAAGTTGACAAGGTCAAATGATTGTTTTCATTAAAATATTTGAGCCTCTTGGAAATGTTAGTTCAAGTCTGTCTCTGCTGCTCTTTAAAAAAAAGACAGTTTGTCTCTCTTTTGATATTTACATTGAACCTGAAAACCAGCCTGGAAGAAAAAGGACATAATACTCCCTCCTTAAATGAATTTGCCTTCTAGAAGCAACTTAATGTAAATGTTACAAGGCTGGTATTTACATAACTTTATAGGCAGGTTGGCCTCTTAGAGAACTTGTGTCTGGGGCGGGGGGACATAAACTAAAAAAGGGAAAGATCCCATACACACTGATAGCTGTGGGACATTTGGTTGTGCCGTTCTTTGCCCTGATGCTGAGTTTGTGAGAGCAGAAATGTTCAGAAGCCTCTGTCTTTCTTTTTTGTTTCCCTTTTTTGGAATTTTACTAAAAATAGGCATAGCCCTCCCCTGAAATGGCTCTCTGCACAAGTTGCTTTCATAAAGCATGAAGTAAAACTCTTACAGTCTGAAAAAACCATCAGTACTCAAGATAGCATTTCCAACCAGTCCATAATTCCTACTGTCTTCCTCGAGGGACGTGCCTTAAATTATGTGCATGTCTTCTATAGTGATGGATTTCAGCACCTGGTAAACAAGTACAATAAATACCTAACTCAGTTAACATAAGGAGCAAGACATTTCCCTGCTTCTTTCTGCTTGTGGAATAGCCTTGTTTGAGCTCAGGATAGCAGAAGGGCTAGGGACATGCTCTAATACTACAGTCACATAGGAAACCATTTTTCCCCTCATGCAAAACTTTTCAAGATTTCATCTTCTGAGAGGAACTAAATTGTTTTTTCAGAGTTTCCTTTAAGAGAAACTGAAAAAAGAAGTCATGTCTGTAATGTGTCAGATATGGTATTCAGATATAAGGAGCTGGAAAACCTAGATTCAAGTCTCTGCTGCTTCTTCCCCATCTCACTTGAATGCCTCAGACATGAAGGATGTGGCATTATGAAGTCTCTCTCTCCCACATCTAAATGAATCACACTGTAACCTCCTTCAGACCCTTCTAGGGATAGATATCAGGGTCTGAATCAAAGGTGACTGTTATCTGTAAAGCTTTACTACCCATTGTACACTAGAAAGCATGGAGTAACTGAGACCTAGAAGTACAGAAAAAATAAAACACTTGTCCTTGTGGTCAAGGCAATGAATTATTCAGTTCTACCCTTGCTTCTGTCACAGACTTCCTTGAAGGTACAAAAACTTATTACAGGTATTACTTAGCACAGACAAGATGAAATAGGAGAAAGATGATGGTTACATTTGTAGTAGAAAAAGACAACACATCATTACTTACCAATTTATTCATTCATTCATGAACCTATGCTAATTGCCACAGAGAAAAATGACAGTGACAATGCACTAGCACCAGTAGCCTGAACACCTCATCAAGGTTTGAAAGCTTAAAGAGTTCTGCTTCATT